TATGGGCACTATCCAGTCAACTAGCCTAGTCCAAACACTATCCAATACACTTGTTAGGCCTTGGGATCCCATCTACCTATCATGTATGGGCACTATCCAGTCAACTAGCCTAGTCCAAACACTATCCAATACACTTGTTAGGCCTTGGGATCCCATCTACCTATCATGTATGGGCACTATCCAGTCAACTAGCCTAGTCCAAACACTATCCAATACACTTGTTAGGCCTTGGGATCCCATCTACCTATCATGTATGGGCACTATCCAGTCAACTAGCCTAGTCCAAACACTATCCAATACACTTGTTAGGCCTTGGGACTATCCAATCTACCTGTCATGAATGGGTATACTTTTCAAAAGTACTCGCCAAGAACAAGCACTGTCTAGTTTGGGTATTATAAAATCAGCTTATCAATTCTGGGCACTATGAAATATTGTAGTCAAGCCTAAGCAATGCACAATATGCCTATCACATTTTGAACAATATCCAATTTTCCTGACAAATCTAAGTACTATCCAATTAAGTATGGGCACTACAAAAATAAAACTGCCAAGTACAAGATATACTGTGTTTGTCTACCAAGTTTCAGAACTAATCCAATCTGCCTGAAAAGTGTGGATATAACCTTCTACACCTTAGAACTAAACTTTCTTGTGAAGTCTGAGATTGGCCACAATCTAACCTGTAAACTAATTTTTACGAAAACCTTCACTGTCTTTCAAAAATGGAAGATGGAAAACACAAACAATAACTCTGACAACAGATATTAAATGTGATGACACTGAAAACATAGGAACCATCAGCTAAAATTACTCCATTTTCCTAAAGGTTTTCTATAATATAATCACTTTCAATGAAATGTTTGCATGAGCCAAAAAAAGACATTAAATAAAAACAAATTGAATAAATGTTTCATGGTGCACTCAGAGAGTTAAAGAAGTAAACAGTATCCAATCAGTAAAACTTTGAAATAAATCTGTTGTTGAAATATCAAGATTACTTTCTTGGTTATGACTGTATGACACCAAGTCATTCAATATTATTTGATTACTTATAGTCCTAAATATATTTAATAAAAATATTTTCCTAAGATACCAACCAGTTGGCCAAATGCCTGCTTGTGCCAGTAACAATGTCACTAACTGTGGAGTCTGTTCCAAATGGAGAACGTGTTGTCCTTCATTAGCAAGAATACTGCAAACATTTAAAGCAAAATCCTCTTCATTTGGTAAGCCACTAAGAAGACTCAGACACAACTTCTTGTACTCATTCTTGGGTAGTTCTTTAGAGAGACCAGCAGAGTTTCGAAGAGATTCTAGTGATTTTGTTAAGAAAGACACGGATTAAGTGACAAAAGTTTACAG